AGAGAGGGGGAGAGTGTGTGGCGAAGAATTAGCTGGATGAGGAGAGAGATGGTGGTGGGGGGCAATATGAGGCGTCATTCATCCATCACTGATCAAACAACATCCACTCATACATCATTCACTCATACATCATTCACTCATACATCATTCACTCATACATCATTCACTCATACATCATTCACTCATACATCATTCACTAATACATCATTCACTAATACATCATTCACTCATACATCATTCACTCATACATCATTCACTCATACATCATTCACTCATACATCATTCACTCATACATCATTCACTCATACATCATTCACTCATACATCATTCACTCATACATCATTCACTCATACATCATTCACTCATACATCATTCACTCATACATCATTCACTCATACATCATTCACTCATACATCATTCACTCATACATCATTCACTCATACATCATCCACTCATACATCATTCACTCATACATCATTCACTCATACATCATCACTCATACATCATTCACTCATACATCATTCACTCATACATCATTCACTCATACATCATTCACTCATACATCATTCACTCATACATCATTCACTCATACATCATTCACTCATACATCATTCACTCATACATCATTCACTCATACATCATTCACTCATACATCATTCACTCATACATCATTCACTCATACATCATTCACTCATACATCATTCACTCATACATCATTCACTCATACATCATTCACTCATACATCATTCACTCATACATCATTCACTCATACATCATTCACTCATACATCATTCACTCATACATCATTCACTCATACATCATTCACTCATACATCATTCACTCATACATCATTCACTCATACATCATTCACTCATACATCATTCACTCATACATCATTCACTCATACATCATTCACTCATACATCATCCACTCATACATCATCCACTCATACATCATTCACTCATACATCATTCACTCATACATCATTCACTCATAAATCATTCACTCATACATCATTCACTCATACATCATTCACTCATACATCATTCACTCATACATCATTCACTCATACATCATTCACTCATACATCATTCACTCATACATCATTCACTCATACATCATTCACTCATACATCATTCACTCATACATCATTCACTCATACATCATTCACTCATACATCATTCACTCATACATCATTCACTCATACATCATCCACTCATACATCATTCACTCATACATCATTCACTCATACATCATTCACTCATACATCATTCACTCATACATCATTCACTCATACATCATTCACTCATACATCATTCACTCATACATCATTCACTCATACATCATTCACTCATACATCATTCACTCATACATCATTCACTCATACATCATTCACTCACACATCATGTCGAAGAGAAAGGCCCCGCCCTCGCTTGGGCGCAGCCGATCTCGCCGTCAACGAGAAGTTCGCGACGGTTTGGTCGACGAAATGGGCTTCTACGTTTCGACGGAAGTTGCAGTGGAGCGATCTCTGCGCGACGAGCTCCCGTCGAAGAGCTCTGCTCGACGATCCTGGTCGAGGAACTCTGGTCGAAGAGTTCGGGTCGAGGAACTCTGGTCGAAGAGTTTGGGTCGAGGAGCTCTGCTCGGCTAACGCTGTTCGACCGAGCGATGTTGAGCTGATCGACCGAAGTTGCAGAATTGTGCGAAACTCTGCGGAGGCGTACGAACTTTCGCCCAGGAGATTTTGGCGAAGTTCTACCTGCGGAACGGCAGAACGTGCTCGACGGTGCGCACCTGGCGAAACCGACGACACGTTTTCTACCTGGCACCTGCGCAATGTGCCTGACGGTGAAACCGCCAACCTGCACCTACTTGGTAGGTGCGCACATCTGCGCAGATAGACAACCTGCGACTGCAGATAGTTACCTGCGACTGCAGATAGTCACCTGCGACTGGAGTGCTGGCAGACCGCGCGAAGTGCAACGTTGGCAGATCACTCTGCTGCAACGTTGGCAAGCCGCTCTTCCGCTGCGCTGGCAGACTTCACCCTTGCTAGGTGTTGAATGCCATTCTAGTCATTCTCATTCTGCATGCCTCAATTGTACTTCAAACTTTTCATTGCAAGTTGTAACTTTCCTTAGTGGAATTCTTGCCAAACTTCTGTGTGAACACAAGCCAAGTAGTAAGAACGTTAGCGCAGAGCTACGATCACTCGCACAACCCCGTGCCCTCCACCGTAGTCCACTCCCGTTGTGTAGTGACTCTCCGCATGGTGCGGTGAGCGTGGACGGTCCCGCGTTAGAACCTTCAGATAGCCGACTTTTGCATTCATTACCTAAGTTGTTGTTAGGCCGGCAGCCGTCTTAGTCGCCATGGTCGACCCCGTGGTCGAAGCAGGTGTAGAAGATACCCTGCAGGCGAGAGAGGCTGGTGTTCGGGCACGCCACGAGGCTGGCGGGTACGGCGAGGCGGACTTGGAGATTCTGCTCCTTGGAACTCGTGCGCAGTGGGCGCGTGAGCATCCCCCTCCCCGTGCAGAAGCGGACGACGCGTCCGCCTCTCCCCGACCCGTGCACAACGAAGGTGATGGCGGCAATGTTGTCGGCGGTGGAAGCACGAGGGTTCGCGGAGTGATTCGGCCCGCCGACGTCAGCGTTGGCGGAGTGCAGGCGCAAGTGCTGCGGTCGTCTGCCACTGGAGGCAGCTCGAACGTCAACATCAATGGTCGACGTCAATCTCCTCTGCGGAGTGGAGTCGGGCCGACTTCGGCGACTCACGCGTCGGCTGGTCGAGACGGAGGCATCGCACCGGCGTACGGATATTTTAAATTTTCGCCGGACAAGATCGCTGTGCCGAAGCTGCTGGACGGTCGACATGACTTGATCACATGGATCGAATCCATTGAGCCTCAGCTGGAGATCGCAGGGTTGAAGAAGTTTGTCGACGGCATTGTTGACACGCCGGACGCAGACGACTCTGAACTCTGGGCGGAATTTCGCGCTGCTCATCTACTAACCTTCATGGTCATTTCGAGGTGTTGCTCGCCTCTGGTGCAGGTCGCATTGACGTCGTGCAGACAACGGGTGGATGCTGGCTACCAAGCGTGGCAGTACATCATGCGCACCTACAAAGCGACCGACGACCTCTACATCAGTCAACTGGAGAAGAAGTTGACCAACATTCGAATGGGGGAGGAGGAATCGGCGACCGAGTACTGCAATCGTGCGCGACGAGTCTTGGCCGATCTGCGGATGGCCGGCGTCGACTACTCGGTGGCGTCGTATGTCACACATGTCATCAGTGGCCTCCCCTCGGGCTACAATTTGATGCGTCGAATGTTGACGATCCCCGGCACGCGCGAGACCCTGAACGAGGATTCGCTTTCGAGCCACATCATCCAGGACGAGTTCATGCAGGAGTCTGAGCGACCTGCAGAACTGCTTCCGCAGGCCAACTACGTCGCCCCGGCGAAGCAGGGACGCCAACAGGGGCAGCGTGGGAAGTCTGGCGGAGGTGGTGGCTGGAAGTCGTCGAACGCGAAATCGACGGAGGGTGCCGACCGCGGAAAGTCGGCGAAAGGTGGAGATCGCGGCAGCAGTGGCTCGCGTCGAGAAGGCCGCCGCTGCTACATCTGCGATGCTCCCGACCACCTCTCGTACGACTGCCCCGACCGAGACGAGTCTGACGACGACCGGGACGCCAACCGCAGAAAGGGAGATGGTGGCCGTCGTCGCCGGGACAACCAGCCGCGCAAGGAGAAGCAGCCGTCGAAGACGGCTTCGACGAAGGATGCGGACTCCTCTGGCGGCAATACTCGTGGCGAGGAGGCTTCGTGCTCGATGGTCAGCGTGGTAGAGCCGACGATCTCGCTGGCGCTGGAGGCTGGCGAAGACTTCAAGGCGGTCGCTGCTGCTGTGCAGGCGAATCCAACTGTCGTGCTGCTCGACAGCGGCTGCTCCCACCATTTGATGGGGACAAAGGAGGCCTTCGTCGACATGCAGCCGAGCGGAGATGTTCGCCACGTTCGCGGCTTCAACGGGGCACTTCAGAGCGTCGAAGGCAGAGGCACCGTTGCTCTGCAAGGGGAGGCCGGGAAGCAGGTCCTCGTCCCCGACGTGCTCTACGTTCCGGGTGTACACGCGAACCTGCTGTCGGCTGGCCAGCTCAAGGAGAACGGCATAACGCTGCAGGACGATGGCGGAGAGATGCTGCTGGTGTCTTCTGCCGGCGATGTCCTTGGTCGAGCACGCTACTCCGGCAGAATTCTCTGCACCGACCTGCGCCCCTGCTCGACGAAGTCTACGACGACTTCGACGGAGGTTGTGGCTCTGCGGACGATCGCGCCAGCGACAAAGTTGACCCCGGACATGTTGCACGCGCGGCTTGCGCACGTCGGCGTCGACACGATCAAGAGCTCAGCGAAGAATGAGGTCGCTGCCGGTCTGGACATGAAGAAGTCGACCGCAGATGATCTGCCGTGTACCTCCTGCGTCGGCGGCAAGCTTGCACGGCACACCTTCCCCGACCAAGGATCGGACGCCGAGAACGCGCTCGATGTGGTGCACATCGACCTCTGCGGACCGTTTCGGGTGGCCGCCAACGATGGCAGCCTCTACTTTCTTTTGCTGAAAGATAGGAAGACTCGCTACGTGTGGGTGAGGCCTATTGCGAAGAAGAGCGACGTGCTGGTCGTCTTCGACAAATGGCTGAAGGAGGTGGAGCGGCAGACGTCGAAGACGGTGAAGAAGTTGCGTTCTGACCGCGGAGGTGAGTTCCTCGGTAGCGCCTTCACCGACCTCGTCGAGGACAAGGGAATCCTCCACAATCTGACGTGCCCCTACACTCCGCAACAGAACGGGATGGCAGAGCGGGAGATGCGTACGGTGGTCGAGGCCATACGAACGATGCTTCTGCACATGGGCGTGAAGCATCACTGGTGGCACCTCGCTCTGCGACAGGCCGTCTGGGTGCGCAACTGCCTCGAGCGTGCTTCTCTGCCAAAGGGGACGACGCCGCATGAGCTTCTGTTCGAGAAGAAGCCGGACTTGACACTGGCGCGCGTGTGGGGCTGCATGGTGCAGTTCATGGTCCCCGAGCAGCGGCGCGGCGGGAAATTGGCGCCGAAGGCCCGTTGGGGTCTTCACCTCGGCGTGTCGGCAGAGAGCAAGGGCTGGGAGGTGCTCGACTTGACGGACAACAAAGTCGTCACGACGGTCGAAGCGATCTTCTACGAGACCCTGTCGATGGAGATGTGGAAGGTGGAGTACGGACCGGCGTCGACGAGGACGGTCTCTACCCCGCCGACCGATTCCTCCTCGGTGCACCCTCCACTGCTCGCTGCGGACGTCGAGCCTGATGAGGACGACGCAGACGACGTCACCCCCTCCCTCCCTCCCCCTGTGCAGGGATCCTCGTCGGCAGCTGGCGATGAGGGGAGACTCGGTGCGTCGCCTGCGGCGCCGACCGGTTGCATCGCCGGAGGCCGACGTGAAGCCGAGAAGGTCAGCGACGGGAAGCGGCAGACGACAGGGGAGCCGTCGAAGAAGACCGCAGAGAAGCCATCGGCAGAGGCGCCGACCGCAGGGAGCAGTCGGCAGAGGCGCCGACCGCAGAGAAGCTGTCGGCAGAGGCACCGACCTCAGGGGAGCAGTCGGCAGAGGAGCTGCCGACGGGGGAGCAGCTCGACGACGACTCGTCAAGCGACGTTGTGGAAGTCGTCGGTGCGGCCGGCGACGATGAATGGGAGCTATCGGCAGGAGAGCAGTCAGAGGACAGTGACGTGGTGGAGGTTCCGGTCGAAGAAGTGAAGCAGCGGCATTCTACCCGCTCCAACTTCGGCAAGCCGCCTGAGAAGCTGAGCTACCACGCTTGTGTTCCGCCGACGGCCTACAGCACTCTGCTCGACGATGCAGAGGACGACGTTGATCTGCCCGAGCTCGACCCCGACATGCACGCCGATCCAGAGCATTGCTGGGACATCGCCAACATGACGGTGAAGGAGGCATTGGCGAGCTGGAAGGGCAAGGCGGTGAAGGCCGCCATGGACGAGGAAATCAAGAGCCTTATCTCCAACGGAACATGGGAGGTGGTCGAGCGTCCGCGCGGTGTCAACGTGATGAAGAATCGTTGGGTACTTACAACGAAATACCACGTCGACGACACGGTCGCCCGGGAGAAAGCGCGTCTGGTGGTGAAGGGCTTCACGCAGATCTACGGCGCAGACTACGATGAAACGTACGCGCCGGTGGGGAGCTACGTAACTCTGCGGATCTTCCTCAGCATCGTAGCAGTCCTCGACCTGCACCTGATGCAGCTGGACATGAAAAACGCGTTTCTGCAGAGCAAGCTGGATCGCGTCCTCTACATGAACCAGCCCGACCACTACAACGACGGAACCGGTCGCGTCTGCAAGCTGCTGAAGAGCTTGTACGGACTGAAGCAGAGTCCACTGCTGTGGTACTCGGCGCTCGACGCGGTGCTGATCGATGCCGGTTGGAGCAAGAGCCAGGTAGACGAAGCGCTCTACTTCAAGGTCGGCGACGACGGAGTGACGTGCTGGGTGCTCGTCTACGTCGACGATCTGCTCGCCGCTAGCAGCAGCACTGCGATGCTGAAGGAGCTGAAGGAGCTGCTGGAGGCCGCCTTCGAGCTGCGCGAGATCAAGCCGGTCGAGAAGTATCTCGGGCTGGAAATCGTGCGCAACCGTCTTGCGCGGAAGCTGTGGCTTCACCAGCAAGTCTACGTCGACAAGCTGCGTCGTCGTTTCATCGACGAGGAGCAGCCCGGTCGAGTGCCGAAGACACCGGTCTCCGTCGACGCCTACGCAGAGCTGATGTTCGACGACGAAGAGTTTCAGTCGCGCGAGGAAGCAGAGTACCGGCAGAAGGTCGGCTCGCTGCAGTTCGCGGCCACCACGACGAGGCCCGACATTGCCTTCGCTTGCAGCAAGCTCGGATCTGGCCTGACAGTGCGGAGCAACAACCACTGGCGTGAGGTCGATCGCTGTCTGCACTACCTCGCTGAAACTCGTGACGCCGCTCTGGAGTTCGGCGGCGGACCAGAGTCGCTGTGTCTGGTCGGCTATGCAGATGCCGACGACGCTGGCGACAAGCAGAATCGGACGAGCACGGGCGGCTACGTTTTCGTATTCGGAGGAGCCGCAGTCTCTTGGGCGAGCCAGCGCATCAAATGCGCAACGCTCTCGTCGACCGAATCAGAGTACGTCGCGGCCACCGAAGCCGGCAAGGAGGCTCGCCGTCTGCGCTTCCTCCTTGCAGAGTTCCGTCTGCTCGATCCAAGGAAGCCGACTGTTCTGCACGTGGACAATCAGTCTGCGATCACTGTCGCAGAGGGCTTGGGGCTCAAGGGCAACCTCAAGCACATGGAGCGACGCTACGCATGGCTGCAGCAGATGGTGAAGCGCGGGAAGATTGCTCTGCAATACATCCCGACCACCGAGCAGCCGGCGGATTTTCTGACGAAGGCGCTGCATTTTCCGGCTTTCAACCGGTGCTCCGTCGCAATCGGCCAAGTGCGTTTGGCCGACGTGGGCGATGGGGATGACGAGGTGCAGCAGTAGGTGCCGTGCCCTTCTGCACGGCTGGTGCGGTGATCTACGTGCTATGTGTTGGGTGCACGTAGAAGGGAAATTTCTCCTTGTATTCTATCCCTCTGGGTTCTGGGTGGACCTTGTGTGTGGGTGCCCAAGCATGAGCTGAGCAGGGGAGTGTCGAAGAGAAAGGCCCCGCCCTCGCTTGGGCGCAGCCGATCTCGCCGTCAACGAGAAGTTCGCGACGGTTTGGTCGACGAAATGGGCTTCTACGTTTCGACGGAAGTTGCAGTGGAGCGATCTCTGCGCGACGAGCTCCCGTCGAAGAGCTCTGCTCGACGATCCTGGTCGAGGAACTCTGGTCGAAGAGTTCGGGTCGAGGAACTCTGGTCGAAGAGTTTGGGTCGAGGAGCTCTGCTCGGCGAACGCTGTTCGACCGAGCGATGTTGAGCTGATCGACCGAAGTTGCAGAATTGTGCGAAACTCTGCGGAGGCGTACGAACTTTCGCCCAGGAGATTTTGGCGAAGTTCTACCTGCGGAACGGCAGAACGTGCTCGACGGTGCGCACCTGGCGAAACCAACGACACGTTTTCTACCTGGCACCTGCGCAATGTGCCTGACGGTGAAACCGCCAACCTGCACCTACTTGGTAGGTGCGCACATCTGCGCAGATAGACAACCTGCGACTGCAGATAGTTACCTGCGACTGCAGATAGTCACCTGCGACTGCAGTGCTGGCAGACCGCGCGAAGTGCAACGTTGGCAGATCACTCTGCTGCAACGTTGGCAAGCCGCTCTTCCGCTGCGCTGGCAGACTTCGCCCTTGCTAGGTGTTGAATGCCATTCTAGTCATTCTCATTCTGCATGCCTCAATTGTACTTCCAACTTTTCATTGCAAGTTGTAACTTTCCTTAGTGGAATTCTTGCCAAACTTCTGTGTGAACACAAGCCAGTAGTAAGAACGTTAGCGCAGAGCTACGATCACTCGCACAACCCCGTGCCCTCCACCGTAGTCCACTCCCGTTGTGTAGTGACTCTCCGCACATCATTCACTCATACATCATTCACTCCTACATCATTCACTCATACATCATTCACTCATACATCATTCACTCATACATCATTCACTCATACATCATTCACTCAGACATCAAGTGCTGCAACAGCAGCGCTCACCACACGTGGGGCAGCAGCAGTAGCAACTGTTGTAGTATCTTTGAATAAAAGGTGTACTTGCTATGCTAGCTCGGTTGACAGGTTGGACAGTTCCAACCGCAATCTGCGGTTGGGTCGCCAGCAATTATTGGAGACCGATGGTCAGAACGTTTCAATAACGTTGGTCAGAACGTTTCAATAACGATGGTCAGAACGTTTCAATAACGTTGGTCAGAACGTTTCAATAACGATGGTCAGAATGTTTCAATAACGTTGGTCAGAACCCAACCAGCCAGCAATGATTGAGCCTCCAATAACGCTGGCCAACCCAACCTAGGCCATCCATGACTCTACCTATGTATACCTCCGCTCACTTGACCTCAATCAATGTACTTCTTCTCTTCACGACACTCACCGGCACATGGGGCAGCAGCTCTCTTGCAGCGAGCTGGGTGGCATCGAGGGCGCGGTGGATGATGGACTTGGCCATGGGCATGTAGGGGGGTGAGCCACCCTTGCTTGCCACACAAACACTCTCTCACTCACCGGCACATGAGGCAGCAGCTCCCTGGCAGCGAGCTGCGTGGCATCGAGGGCGCGGACGAGGGACTTGGCCATGGGCATGTAGATGGGCCACTCGGGCGTGCTGGGGTCGTGCAGTGCCATGCCCAGTGTGACTGGCGGAGGAGGTGCGCGGAGGGGGGAGGGGAGGAGAAGGGGAAGGAGGGTGAGGGGAGAGGGGCGGGAATGGGCGAGGGAAGGAGGGTGAAAGTCTTGGCAACCACTGGTCTCCTCATATGCACTCGTCTCCCCACATGCACTCATCTCCCCACATGCACTCATCTCCCCACATGCACTCATCTCCAGCGCTACCAGCTAGCGCTGACGACAGCCAGCGCCACGCCAGCTGCTGCTGACGCCAGCCAGCGCCACGCTCTAACTGACTCGTTCACGAGCTGCCATCTCCTCAATTCTTGAGTTGCTCTGCTGCACCTGACGCTAGCCACAAGGCAGGCACCACCAGTACAGGCGCCTTGCTTCTAGAGTCAGCTGGGCACACTATAGGCTTGCTAGCACAGGCTGCAGTGCTCTTGGCTTCAGCTGTGCTGCTGGTGCCAGCGGGAATAGGACTCGCTATAGGCCGACTCGCTTACAGGCTGTGATCTCCTCCTCTAGCAGCTCTTGGCTCATGCTGCGGGTGACGCCAGGCGGGGAGACGTGGAAGGTGATGGGCATCATGGGCTGCTGGTGCAGCATGACGCCCAGCATGCCCAGATCCACCACCAGCCTGC